GACATAGCTTACAAGAGGGATAGAGACCAATAGGGACATGCTTGGGCACACTATATCATGGATAAATTACCTTCATTGGAAGGGTCCAAGGCAAGGAGCATGAAGTCCATACACTTTCTCTATACAATTTCAAATCTTCCTTGCATTCATATAGAAATATCCATTTCTCTTTCCCTTGTGGTATCTATAAATCTCACCCTGCTGACCCCCAGCACAGCCTGAGAATCRTCCTCAACACTGTTAGCTCACTACCAACTAATAAGCTGGCATTTGGGATAAAAAGCATTTGTTTTCTACACAGGAATCTCTCAGATYAACATCAAGAAGGATGAAAGGTCACACAATGATTATCTTACAATRGGGACTGACTGGATCCTCTCCAGCATATCCTAGACACTGAAAACAGAGGTTGATCAACTCAGAGACTSATGAAAGCATCCACTTCCTTTGTTCTTGCTGACAAATGTCAGGGAAAGCTGGTTCTAGCTGGGCACATGTATGCTAATAGCCCAGGGTAGGTAGGTGTCTGGAAATCTTTTCCAAAGAGGTGGGGGGAGATCCACCTGAGCAATCTCTGCTACATTCATATCTTTCAACACAACTTTTCAAAAGAAGAAAAAAAATATGACCATATGTCCACAAATAAACCTATGTGCCCACTACAGCTCAGGCCAAAGGCAGCAAGTTCACCTTCAAACATCTCTACCCAAGTATTTAAGCTAGCTGATATACACAGGGCAGAGTTAAGACATGTGCTTAGGGCAATTTTAAGAGAACAACTCTATCTTTAGCAATAAGTATATTAAAATAGTACTTGTGCTCTTTTTATTTGTACAGGAGGGTTTTAAAAGAAACATTTTTGAGAAAAGACAGATCATCAGATCACTAATAACTGCGGTTTCCTGAACAATTAAAGGAATTCACAAGATTGCAATCCACTCGGGAAGTGACAAATATTTCTGATTTTTATGGAAGGACTGAAAGGGCACTTTTATCTATTTCATAAGAATCCTTGTTAAGTAATGATGTAATTTTTGTTAGTTTTTTACTTMTTTCAGGAATACTAAACGAAGTAATGATCTGAAAATAGAAAACATTTCACTGCATATTTGCAAAGGTAAAATTTTGTATGAAGAGACATTTGCCAGAGTTTTCTTTTTTATCTATTAAGGTTGGTTCTTCCAGCTCAGGTTCCATTGTCCCAAACTCTGTTTCTAATGCATCAGCAGAAATGTCCTCTAAGTTACCTCATCTTATTCTTCACAAACGCACTTGTAAGCTTGCCCTCCATGCATCATRCTAACAATATTTGGCYCTGATAACATTTTATGTATGATGCCCCTGTTTGGAAAAATCTGCTCTTTTTAATAACTGATTCAATAAACTGTTGACAAATGGTTTGTTTAATATAGTACACCAGCAGCAAGGTTTGTCTCTGTCATGACACACCACATTCAATCCATCCGCAAACGCTGCCATGTCCCCCTTATGTTAGAGCACCTTTTGCCATTCTGAATAGCAATCCAAAGATCAATACGCTGTCTGCTGAAAACTACAGGACATAACAAATGAATCATTTTATTTACAATAAAAGCCCCAGTCCCCAAATGGATTCCACTCATGTTCAAATTCACTTTTCATGCTCAACTCGAGAGGAGAGGTAGATGCAGCATAGTGCAGGAGGAATAGTATGAACCACAATGGTTCAAATTTATTTAAGCCATGAACAATAGCTGGGGTACRGCAATACACATGAACACAGCATTCGCTGCAAAATCCTGGAAATGCCCTCTCCAAAATGATGCTGTTCTCTCACCAAGAAACCCTGAAAAAGTGTTTTCCAGTAACAAGAAATTAATGGATTAAGAAATTCTGACATATYCTTCTAGAGTGTTGCATCACAGAGGCCAAAGCTTATTCAATGGGCTTTAAACACTGTTGGCAAGGAACAGAATGTTTGCACTAGGTGAGGACCAGGAGGGACTGAAGTGGCTTTTTTTAGAATTAAAAACAACAACAACAACAACAAAAAAAAAAAACCCAGTCTCATTTCAAAAGCATATCTTCGGCCCCTGATCTGACTGTTCCTTTCCTACTCCAAAAGCTATTAAAAAAAAAAAAAAAAAGCCAGGGAGCAAAGTCATAAGAGAAATGGAGTAGGTAGCAAAATGTTAGCAAGGACACAAGTTCAAAGATAAATAACATTTCCAAGTCTCTCATGAATGGCACACTCCCCAAAGGTCGCCTAAATATCATTAAGTAGAAAAAAAAAATCCAAACTACAAGACRAAATGGTCTACTTTACATGAAGATGCCAAAATACTGTCCTTAAAATACAAACTTGTCCACTGACAAATTAACATGCAGAGAGAACTGGAAAAGCATCTTTTCCTATCTGCCATCACTTAATTCACTGCTTTTACACTTAAGTCAGTACATGGATAACACAAAACTGTAAAAACAGAGTTGTAACTGACAAAGGATGAAGTTTGGAAAATATGGTTTGGTCTTAATAATAAAAAAAATAATAAATCTAAAAAAAATCAAATAACAAGACTGGGCTTTGGGCATGGGAATATGAAAAAGGGATCTTAGCAGACCCTTACTCTCCCATGCCATGAACYAAACAGTACAATATGTTCCTGGTGTTCATAGTTTCCCTTTCAATTCAGTCACTGTTGTACTTTGTGATGCTAAGACAAAAGAGTTGTACAAAAGTAGGTCCCTATGGGCTGGAGTTGTAGCTCAGTGGTGTGAGGCACTGGGTTCGATCCTAGCATCACATAAAACAAATAAAGGCATTGAGTCCATATACAACTAAAAAAAAAAATTAAAGAAAAAAGAGTAGGTCCTACCCACAGGAAGGAATAATTCTGTGCAAAAACAAAAGAATGCACAGTTCTGACATGAGGCAGAGTAGAAAGTTTTGAATTAATCACCATGTTAGCAAGGAACCAAGCATCACAAGGAGGATGCCATATATCTTACCTAACAGGGAAGAATAATTATGAACACGCCTCACTTAAAGAAGCAAGGAGAATCTAGAGGTAAAGAGTAGCAGAGGAAACTATGGTCAAGTATAACACATTTTTAGGAAATAGCTAGAAAGAAGGGAAATTGGGTCTAGACAATAAAAGGCTTTAAGAACCAGGCTAAGGAGTGAGGACTTTTTCTTCACAAAAACAGAGACTCATTACTTATTTTCTAGCAAGGGAACARAAGAGTAATATGATCAGAGCTGTGGTTCAGAGTAGGGTGGAGGCTAAATGGGAGGAGCCCAGAGAGAGGGAGTTGCTAAAATCCAGATGACCCTYACCAAAGAGCTAGAAGGCAGGCTGGATAGAATGCCAGGGGAAGATAAAAGCCCACTCTGGACTTCTCCCATTCATTTTATGAAKTGTTAGTGAGCAGAGCTATCCACAGCTTCAATTCCCCCCAAATCTCAGAACAAAAGACTGGCTTTCTGCAAGCAAATGAGTATCTTATTAAGATGCTTCTCATAGTTATAACCAAACAGAGTTTACAAAGGTAAAGTGAAATAAAAAATTCCAAAATCTTCACATAAAAAGGATCATCTGAATATATTTTCTACTGGCCCCAAGACCATTTTCAACACTATAGATGTGAAATAGCCTTTCAGAGTGCACTGATTTCAGAAATGTTCTGGCTGTCATTGTTCCTGTCCTCAGAAACACTGGGCACTTCTTGCAAACAAACCAATATGAAGAGACTTCACATAACATTATTTACCAGTTTATTGATTGATCATGATTTTTGTAAATCCACAAAACTTAATTAATTAAAGTTTGGATTCAGGGAATTCAGAAGTCTATCATATAATCACAATTATCTTTTGTTACATGTTTTTCTATCTGTCCTTTTTTTAATGGCTTATAATGATTAGAAAGGAAGGTTATTCATAAAGGTAGGTACTTTGAACATATATAATAATATAAATCATAACTGAAAAAATCTTGGCATATCTGGGCTTTCAGAATTCATTCATTTCCAAGTCAAATCACATCTTAGTACAGAAAATATTATCTTAAAATATGACATTTGATTCTTATTGTACTCTGCATAAGAAAACAATTTTTGAATAGCCACTATAAAATTCACATGTACACAATCACAAGCAATATTAAAAAAAACCCTTTTAGTTGTAGATGGAAACAATACCTCTATTTTATTTATTTATTTAGATGTGGTGCTGAGATTGAACCCAGTGCCCCACACCTGCTAGGCAAGTGCTCTACCACTGAGCTACAACCTCAGCCCAAGCAATATTTTGAACAACATAAAAATAGCTCCCCTGAGTGTTTCACCAATTCCTACATCTCCCACTGCAAACTAGAGTAAAGCTCCTAGTAGTCCACAGGGGAAAGAAAAGTCCTTCAAAGGAAATAAAACAACTCTACCACCAGCAACACTAGTCAATGGTCTAGAAGCCAGGTCTTCTCCCAGGAGAAAATGCCGTGTCTGATGACAATAGGAAAAACAATTTTCATAAGTATGTATACATGTATGAATTTAATTAAAACTCACAATTTGAATGACCTGTAAGAGGTAATGAAACAAAGATTCAAATTCTCATGTAATCCCTTAATTCCACAACACTTAGTTGCAATCCAATTTCTAACCTACCATTAAAATTCACAATGGATAAAATGAACATGAAGTGCCCATGATATTCATTGGGCCAATTTTAGAAACACCTATTTATTTACCCAGCTACGATAGTGAAAAGGTCAAGCAAAAATTCACCTCCAAAGCCACAGTTGCTAAGCAACTCTTCTCACAAGTTCTGCAACACTGATCAAGCATATTACTGGTGCCACCAACTGGATTCAAAGAAACATGAATAACATCTTACCTGGTCTCTCCAAAGTGGGAGGGAGGTGGATCCCTTGCTTACCTTGGGTGGACAGTCACTGAAGGCCAAGCCTGCATTCGTGTGGTTGCATACCTTTTTATTTCACCCTCTTACAAGAAAAGGATACGTCCTGGTACAACCGGTTTCCTATTCACAAGAGCAAAGGACAGCTCCGTTTTGAGAAACACCACAGAGGGCTTGATAAGATGCTGGCCGAATCTGAATGCCATTTCCTTACACTTGAGGTCTGAAAGAAGACAATTCAGAAAATGGACATTAATAAAAGTTAAATAAGAAATTCGGTTCATGTACCACTTTAAAGAAAGCAAATTCCATTACTAAAGATTCTTGGTTCTAAAGAGGATGCAATTTAAACTGTCTGCCATTTAATATCCACCCAGTTGAATTTCAGGTAAGTCCTCCCTAAACACTCCATTGTCCTTACTATGTTGCCTAGATTTGAGAGAGTGGTTTCAAGCCAAAGCTTGCACCTGATGACAAAACAGCCATTCACTCTTAAATCCTTCTGCTCTGCAGGTTGCCACCTCAAATCCAACAGGTCCAATTTGTCAAGTACTTATTTTTACCCCAACCATTTTTGTCATCTTTGCTAAGCTGAAATTTTTCATTGTTAAATATTGACTATAAACCTTCTAATTCTTAAATGCTTCTCTCAAATGGTTTTTATCTTTGTTTATATAAAAGCAATTTTGAACCTGTACAAACACTGTCTGACCTTGCCTACAATTACAAAACACACAAGCACTCCCAGAGAACTATTCCAGCATATTTTCTGAAATTAAAAGGAATGAAGGAACAAAACAGTTTGAGACGGGAATACTTCTTTCTGGTTGGGTTGACCCAGAGCCTGGATGTAGTAAGGTACACAAATTGTTTCTTTCTTTCTTTTTTTTTCTTTGCTTTCTTTCTTTTGTTGGCTAAAAGGAAAAAAAAAAAAAAAGGCCCAAAAAGGGAGTTGAAGAGAGTAAGCATTTGGCAATTAGAGTAAGATAAACCCACAAAGCACCAAGAAATGATTTCTCCAATAGGTGATGCCTATATGTGAGAGAGCCATTTTCTAAATGACTAAGACACACCATCTCTGGAAAACTACTTCATTTTTCAAATTTGGTAATAGCCCACTATAAAACTGACAAACATAGATCAATCTATGAAAAAACAGAACATTACAAAAAAGGATAAAATCAGAAAATGGTAGGCTATTTTATAAAGCAGACTAATGCCCCATAATTTAATTGGCCAAATGTTCCAGGTGACACACCAAAAAAGACAGAGCTATGCAAATGTCATTTATTACAGATGCACCCATATAATCAGAACTTGACACATTGCAGCTCAAGAACTAGGAATGGGGAAATATCTCAATGGCACAGACAATGATTTTTAGAATACATACATCTAGCTCATAAAAATGAAGAATAAGGATGTCAAAAATCATCTAACCCAATAGTTCTCAAGATATGATTATTTGACAGTAGAATTGATGTCACCCAGGAACTTACTAGAAATGGGAGTTCTCAGGTACCACCATAAACCTACTGCATAAGAATCTGGGAGAAGGGCCCTGTGATCTGAACTTTAATAAGGCTCAGATGAATGAGAACCACTAATGAAACCTAACTATCATACCTATCCTTGGGTCCTTTCCTACAGAATCTCTGCGAAGCGGTTGGCTAGCTTATGCTTGAAATATCCCAGAGATGGGATGTTTGCTATACATTCCTTCTAAGATAATTAACTCCCCCATTAGTTACTCTTAATACCAAGTCACCCATTTGTTGAGGATTTATTCCTTGGGGCCATATAAAACAAGAATCATTCAAGCCACAGTGCCTCAGATATTTGGGTTTAACCATTCTTTATTTCTTCTAGTTTTTCTAAAAAGAAACATGCAAATTGTGCAAACCACTCCAGAACAATACTGGTTCTAGAACCGGTAATCCCTGTGGTTCTTTGCCTCCCCAGAAGCTACTTTCTAGAGTTCTAACCACATCATTTTTATTTTCTTTGGGGTATACTTCACCCTAGTATACAGATGGGGCTCTTCCTACTGCCAAGTACCAGAGATGGGCACTTCTCTGGCATTATCACTGCTTCAGGAGAGGGCATGGGACACAAAATGAGTCATTTAAGGCAAGGATATCTTCCCAATGATTACTGCTAATATTAAAGAGAGCTTTTTCAGCTGAGTTGCCAGACTGGTTAAACATGAACTCAAATAGCTAGAGATCTCCCTAAAAACGTATCAGAGCTAACATGAGGCAAACAGAGCCAAGACACAGAGACCCACACCTGATGACATTGTCTAAGCATCTGKATATAACAATGCTAGAAAGAATTATGTCCCTAGAATTTCCCTTTACAGAAGTTTGCACAGTCTTAAGCATAGGCTGTATTTGATGAGCTTCTATTATCAAGAGTCCATAGTAGTTTTATTTTTCTCTTATTATTCACTCTCCCATTCATCCTTTATGCCTAGCACCATCCCTCCCCCTTGATTAAAGGATTCACTTTTTCACAATTAATGTACTATTTACAACCCTTTATGTGTTTGTATACATATATTTCATATGTCAAAATATATTCAGGGCTCTTCAAATCATATATTTTAAATCCCATTCTTCTGTTTTCTCTCAACATTCTTTCAGAGACTATCAATGTTGCTATAAATACCCCCTTCTCTCTTACAGCTTCTCACTGGATTCCACCATGGAATTCTGGTCCCTCCCCACAGAGCTCATGGACTAGTCTTTTACCACAAACACCACTAACTGCCATCTGCAGATGTATTTCCCTAGATACCTATACTACACTTCCATTATGGGTTTCAGGTACTATATGTACTTAGGTTTTCTAAAATACATGCACAAGTTTGTATTCCCAGAGCAATTCATGAAGATTTGTTTTCCTACACTCTTATCAGCACTATTATAGTATCTGCTCTCCTCACTTTTACTGGTTGATTGGCAAATGGTGTCTCTTCTTTTTAATTTGCTTGTTTCTTATAGCAATGTGTGTACAAACTGCCGATTTGTTCTTTTTCTTCTTTGCAGTTCTTAAGAATAAACCCAGTGATATTCACAGGCTAGGCAAGTGCTCTACCACTGAGTTATATCCCCAGCCCTATTTGTTCTGTTTTTATTACTCTCCTCCCTTCTACTTTCTGATTTTTTCAGAGTCCCTAGTATATTCTGAATATTGATTGTGGCCTATTAAACATGACAATTATATTTTTATCATGTGCTAATTTTTCTGCTATTCTGTCAACTGAACAAAAAGCATCCATTTTGGGGCATTCACATTTTCTTTCTTTTGTGCTCTGTGAGTCTTATGTAACATATCCTTCTCTATCATAAGGTTACCAAATATATTCCTTTTTTGGTGGTGACAGTGTGGCGAGGGGGACTAGAGATTGAACCCAATGATGTTTTATCACTGAACTACATCCCCAGTCTTTTTTTTTTTTTTTTTTTGGAGGAAGGGTTTTGAGGCCTTGCTAAATTGCCAAAACTGGTCTTGAACTTGAGAGTCTTCTGCCTCTGCTTCCAGAATCACTGGGATTACAGGCACACATCACTTTATCACTTTGTCCAGCTTAGGTAGCAAAACATATTCTTGAATGTTCTTTTATCACTTTTATATTTTTCACTTTTAACAGATATTTATTTATTTCACATGGGACTTTGTTCATAATATGAAATATGAAAACAGTTTCACTTTTCTCCTTTTATGAGTCAATTTTCTTTGTACTGATATGTGGGAATGACTACACTATATCCTATATGTACATAGGAATGGGTCTGGATTGTTTTAGTCTGATTCCATGCCAGATGCTGTAGAAGAGAGGTCACTAAATTATTTCTGCAGAGGGACAGATGCAGCAGTTGGTGCTTCAACTACTCAATTCTGTCATCACAGCATGAAAGCAGTCACTGGCAATATCTAAATGAATAGGTGTGCTGCGTCCTAATAAAACTTTACTTACAAAAACAATTCCAGACTATATTTGATTGTGGGCTGTATTTGCTAACTCTTGTTACAGATTTGCTACTTACCTTATGGAGAAAGAATTTATTTTTCTTGATTTACTCTCCTACAGAAATTTACTCTGCTCCTTCAAAAAAAAATTCTTGGTTATTTGTTGGACCGGATTTGAATTTTAATGGAGGGGATATGTGACATCTTCACAATGTTCCATGAAGCCATTTATGAACACTGCATTTATGCTCTTTACTATCATAATAAAACTCTTGTAATAGAGTTTTAAATTTTCCTTACATGTTTTATGCATTCTATCTTAGATTTATTCCTAGATAGCTTAGTTTATGTCACTATTATAAATGGTATCTTATTGTCATAGTTCATAATTGGTTACTCCCAACACAGAGGAAAGCTATTGATTTTTATGTGTTGCTCTTACAGCTAGCAACCAAGCTGAACTCTTGTATTGCTGCTAATAGTTTCTGCTGATTCTCTTTGATTTTCTATATAAATGATTTCACATAGAGGTAATGACAGTGTTATCTCTCATTTCAATTCTTTTTGTTTCTCTCTTTGTCTATTGCAATGGTCAGGTATCTGGTAATGTGTTAAGAAGTAAAAGCAACAGAGTCATCCTTGTCTTGTCCCTGTTATAGATTTTTAGTAGAAAGCCTTTATCAAACTTAAAAATCCCTTGTATTTTAAATTTGATAAGGATTTATTACATTTATAAAAAAAACCTTAATACATGTTTTATATCAATGAAGATGCAACCACTTCTTCTTTGCCATGAATATGGAAAATGACATTACAGATTTTTTTTGAAATATTGTGCTAGCCTTTCACATTTATGTTTGACTCAGTCACCAAGTTTTATTTAATATTTAGTATCTCTCAATGTCATAAGTGAAGTTGGCCAACATTTTTTTCAAGCCTCAACGTAACCTTGTTTATTAAAACCAAACTTAACCGGTTCATTTTCTGTGCTAAAAGAAATTTTTATAAAGGAGTATTTTCTGTTCCTTGCAAGTTAAGAAGAACTCACTTGTAAAACTGTAACCCTTTTCCTCTTACAGGGAGGACTAACTTTTGATGATCATTATGATTTATTATGTTTTCTGATCTACTCAAGTGTTCTTTCCTGTATCAATTTCTTATCCATATATCCTTTCACACAAATTTAAATTTTTATAGATAAAAATTCACACTTTAATCAATAAAATAATTATAGATCATTATTTTAAA